CGGGTCAAAACTTTAGGAAAACCAGAGATCAGAAACTGGATTTGGTCTCAATGCTTCAAATATGCATCTTTAATCTTGTTTTAAGCTCTGCTTCAGGATTTATATCAGAATGTTCTAACACATATCTTAAGATGATGTGACAAAAACTACATTTAGATATCGATTGATTTAAGTATAGCTTACCCTTTAACATTTAATGTGTTCCTGTTTTCGCTTTGATCCACAACCTATAATTTTCTTTCAAATGGCATCAGCTCTAATCCAGTCCTTTTACCATTCAGTTCATTATTTTTCTTGTAGAGCTTTGAATGCTAGATCTTTTTTAAACTGTTAGATCTGATGCATGAAGCATTATGGATGAATTAAAGATGTATAAGTATCCAGCAGAGGTTCATTCCACCAACACTTTTAAAAACATGAAAATACGACTCTGTTATCACACAGCGATCGCCCGTATAAGGCTTATAAAGTGCATGCGGTGGCTTCCCCCTGCTCCCTGGGCAAGGTAGGAATGACCATAGCAATCGGTGACTCAGCATTTTCTAATTCTGTTTCTCACAGTTGTTGGCCACCCTGTTATTTCTCATTAATCAGTCACCAGGCATGAACCAAACATTTACCAGGGATAACAGGAGGAAGCTGATGTTTGCAGACACCTTTATCTAGAATGTTCTTGTTCAGGATTTATATTTATTCATCTTTTTTAATAGTGAAACCGTTCATCGCATCCATCAGACTGAAGGAGTCGATGCTCCAGTTTTGACTGACATAAAGCCTCATTAGTTCAGGTAGTTCCTCCTCAGTTTAACAAAGCCTATGCCTCAGTAGAGACTTGGAGCGCTATGCTGATGTTCCGCCTGTGTGAATTATTAGGAGGCTGAAAGAAGCGCAGCATCAGATGGCGCCGTCTGATGATGGTGTTTTTTTTTTTGTTTTTTCGTGTGTGTGTGAGGGTTAAAAAAACGGATGGTTGAAATATTCTCCATGACCCTCTGGTTCTCTCTGACTCCTCCCTAAAGCGTTAACCTTAAAGTCCCAAAATAATTGAAAACAGCAGCTGTGATAAGAAGTGGAAACTGTCCTGTGGTGTTAAAAACAACCTGCCTGAAAGCTTTCTGAAGATTCGGCTGATGGGTTATACAGATGATAAAAGCTGTGTGGCAGCAGCAGCAGCACAGTGTGTCTATGCTGCTGCTGCTGCTGGCACATATGAAGGCAAAATCTGGTTGCTTCACACAAACGAAGGTCACTTTATTTATTTATATGTATATATTGTGCTATTTAGCTTACCAGAAGATTAAGAATATATTAAATAACTAGAACTGGAAGTTAGTTAATAAATCAAGGGTAAAGCTGCTCATTTATTATCAGTTGTATGATTGTAACTGTAATTTTCCTACTGACCAGGGTTTTAGCCCCTTTCCTAAAAGGGTAAGACTCCTGAATCCAGCTGTTAAGAATCCAGTTGTCTTTCACCAATTTATTTGTTTAGGCTATGGTTATTAATCACCAACCAAATAAATGTTTCTCTGTTCATTCAGATGAAGAGTGAATCAAAGCAAACTAAATAAGCAAAACAAAATAAATAAAAGGGGAAGAGGGGTTTAAGAGTCCGTTCAAAGTCTGCAATGTTTGAAATTTTACATTTAAAAGTGTCCTTTATAATAGCAGCAGATAAAATGTCTAATAAACCCTGACACAGAGATGTTAACTGCAGTCAAAATAGTGAAGTTTCATTCAGTTTATGGAGGAAAATGAATAATGACCTAGAATGCATTAAACTATGATGAAAGACTCGTTAGCCTAGCTGGCCCCAGGGGTTCTGGTTCTGGTCGGGTCAACTGAAACAAAGAGAGGGTTAGTTCACGATTTAGCAATTAGCTTCAGCAAGAAGCGACTTGTTCGGTCTGTAGTGAGCATTAGCATTTAGTGAAACCTTTAACGATTGGCAGTTGAATCAGAAAGCTTATTTCAAATAAAAACACCAACACGGCTATCTATTCTAACTGTAGTTAACCAAAGTAGATGGGAAGGGGGGAAGGCTGCAGGAGCTGGTTCCTTTAGATTGTTAAGCTTTTTACATACTGTCCTTAACCCATTTAGGCCTAAAACGCCTGGAAAAAACACCTTAAAAACCTATGGCCGATTTTAAAAAATACCCCTAAAACCTGAAGTTTTTCTGTAAATTCAGCAACTGTGTCAACGCCTAGTAAATTATTGATATCTCAGCTTCTGTAGCAGATAGAACTCAAAATATATTTTATCTTTGAAATTCTTCCAAAAAAAAAAAGTTAAAAGCAGTAATCAAAAAGAAAAAAAAAATTCAACCTTTTATTTTTTCCATATGTGATCATGTCTTCATTGAGAATGTGCAATATAAAACGTTTTTAAAATAAAGAACAAACATTACATAAATACCTAACTGATGATTACTTATTAACAGTATTATTATGCATAATAATGCATATGTCTGTGTTATGAATTGCAATACAACTTACCTCCAGATGGCCACAAATCTGTCCCGGGACATATTTTGGGGGAACTGCGTCCTGAAGAGAGGTTTACTCTGTCGCCAATAATCTCTTCATACTGGCAACACAAGAAGTCCCATGCCCATACACAGCCCAATAAATGTCTTTGTCTCCGTCACAGTCACGGGTGACCACTTTGCCATCTTTGCTCTTGTTGGAGTTTGGTTTGTTTGGTCACTGTACCTATTCGTCTCGGTAACAAGATGCATCCAAAGTTCTTCATTAAAAATATGCTCAAATGCCTGCAGCGGTGTGGCGTCTGCAGGCAAAACAACTTTCACTCCAGGTGTGCGGTTGAAAACACTCCGTGCATTGCGGTGGTAGTTCTCCGTCTTCCAGTCACTATCAAAACCTTCAAACTCATCGTCGCTAGCGTCCGGCTCGTCGTCTTCGAACATATGTCTTAACCACAAATCCCGGTCGATTGGTTCAGCGCGTTCAAAGTCATCATTTTCATCTATACCGTCATCAAAGCTGACACACTCCTCAAAGTCACTGCCTTCCGACATCTCTTCTCTGTCAAACTCCTCCATGTTTGCTTGAAAAAAACTTCTTTCTTCTTGCTTGACTTATATGCTCTCCCGGCGTCAATGGTAGAATTACGCAACAGCGCCCCCGGCTTGAATGGTAGAAATGCGGTAATGCTTTCCCGGCCTAAATGGGTTAACTCTGTAGCATTCAAATCATTTAGACTTTAATCTTTTAAAACAATCTTTACTTTTTGTGAAGAATAGTTTCCTGTATTTGTATGTTTTCTGCCTTGAATAGAGGCAGAATGACGCATTCTTAACTAACTTGTGTTGCTGTTCTTGTAAAATTGTTCCAATCAAATCCAGCACGCTTCCTGCAGCTTTGTGTGTTTGTTTCAGACAATATAACATCTTCCACCTATAGATTTGTTTATTCTGAAGATGGGTTAGTTCCTGCAGACAGGACTCCATTCATCCTTCTCCACCTTTGTATCGTTCAAATCTCCTTCCTGCAAACATGTTATTTTTATCTGCTCCGAGGGTTAAACCCACAGTTCTGGTGGAAGTAACGGGCTCCTGGTGAAAGTCCCCAGAGAGCAGCGGTAGGAAGGAAGGGATTGTATCTGCTGCTCCTCTCCTACATTGTCTTATTATAGCAAACTATTATTGCTCGTCTCCCTACAGGAGAATATTGTTTGATTAAACTGTAGACCTGCATCATTAATCTACTTTTGTTTTATATCAACCTTTTCTTGGTGCATCACATCTTAAGGTGAAGAAAAATCCCTGATCTACAGTACATGCTTTAAAGTTTATCAACAGCATAATTCATGAATAAAATTGAACCCTTGCCAACTGAGACGTATATGTTTCTGCATCATCTATCATCAAAGAGATCTTCATAGAACAGAATCAGGGTTTCCGTCTCTGTCATTAAAAATCCTTAAGTCATTAAATTATTTTTATTTTTTAATTAAGGCTTTAAGTGGCATTGAAGTTAAATGTGATTATCGTGACATTTAAAATGCATTATTTATATATAAAAAAGGAAAAGGTTATAAAAACAGTTTTGGCAGCGATATTATAACGGATAGAACTGGTTCCGCATGTTTGTGCAGAATAGCATAGAACAGCCGTTCGACAAAGAAGCGTGTTGGAAAATGGATGGATTTATATATATGAGAGTCGTGGATACCTGTTGATGGCATTGAAATTTTTTCTAAGCATGAAAAGAGTATTAAAAAGCATTAAATTAGAATAACTCATTCCTGTATAAATGCTGAGAATAGCACCTCCTTTTTTTTCCAAAGTGAAGTGGCTGAACTCTGTAAAAACATTGTTTTTATCATTTATAGTTTGTTTTTTTTCTTTTGCAGCCTTAGAAAAGTCTAATTTAAAAACTAAATATAACTGCATAAGAGTAAACTGGGACACGATAACAGAAATGGGCCTTCAGAATCTAATAATAAACATGATATATTTTTTCAGTGTCTTACTAAAATTTCTTCATAAACTAAGTGGATTTGATCTTTTTACCACCACTAACTCAATGATGCTACAAATGGAAGAACTCTATACCTCTGATAGTTTTGTATATAAGAATACATTATACAAAACATTAGGTCTTTCTGCATGGAGTTTGCATGTTCTCCCTGAACATGTGTGGGTTCTCTCCGGGTACTCCGGCTTCCTCCCACAATCCAAAAACATGAGTTAGGTTACCGGTAATTGGCTTCTCTAAATTCTCTTTAGGTGTGAGTGTGAATGGTTGTTTGTCCTGTTTGTCTCTGTGTTGCCCTGCGATGGACTGGCGACCTCTCCAGGGTGTACCCTGCATTTATCCCATTGAGAGCTGGAGATGGGCACCAGCACCCCTCGTGATCCCAGCAGGGATCAGCGTGACAGAAAATGGAAGGATGGATGAATACATTATATAGTTCTAGTTTAAGTTTAGTACAAAATCTGATTCAAGATGATGTTTTTCTTTGTTTCTTTTTAGTCACCTGGACCATCACCACCTATGGGACCCCAATGAGTTTGCTGTGTCCTGCTTCAGGATCATCATGTACTCCATCCAGGTAACTTCTATTAAACTCTCTACAGAATCCTCAGTAAAAGAAAAAAGGTAAATAAGGATATAAGTTGGGATTTTTTTTTATTTTTGCCTTCCAGAAAGTGTATCACATGTTTCAGCGATTGCAATAGAAATATTTTAGATGTACAAAAAGTTAAAGCAAGATAGAAGCTCACAAAGGGAGAACAGTGGGGAGTTGCTGCCCCCCTCAAGAAGAACCATGAGTCTTTATTGTTATGTAACCATAATGACATTAAATGAAGTTGTTTTACTAAACACTTAAAGTTCAGACAGAGAAGTAAAGATATGACTTATTTAAGTTGTCTGCTTTTCTTCATTTATATAGCATTTTTATTTCATGGTTTATTGGTAATTATTGTTTAACTTTAGCTGCCTCTTTGGACAGGAAAAAGATGCTTTTAATCTCAGTAGGACCTTCCTGGTTAAATAAAGGTTTAATACAAAAACAAATTTCACCTGAATAACATTGCATTTGGAAAGAAAACCAATCTAAACTATTGATTAGTGGAAATAATTTCTCACAGTATAGCTGTTTAGACTTCGACAACTTTTAATGTCATTTTGTATACACAGATTGTATACGAAACGAAAATTCACTACAGCTTTTCACTACCAGATCCATACCGGAAGCACTGATTGGCGCGTGTGTGAGCAGATATTCATCTAGGTCAACATAAATAATGTTATTATGGTACTAAAAGTACTTATTTTTATCCTAAATCAATATATAATGTGACACTGCATTTCTAAAAAAAAAAAATATCTTATGACTTTTCTGAGACAATTTGATGCTTTATACATTTTCTAAGTTAAACAGCTTGTGTGACATCATCAGCTGACATGCTCAATGCAGTCCTGCAAAATATGATTACACCATGTTGATCTGCTTTTTAGTTATTTTCTTTCTTTAGATTACACACTATATATCAAATATAAAAATATAATTGAGGTATTTTTTACAAATTAAAATCGAGGGCAACCCGGATGTACATCTGGTTGCGCATGCACAAATGAGGTGATGGTACAGATCTTGCTTCCGTTACGATTGGGTAGTGACACACATCTCTTCCTCAAACACGTATTGCTGCAATGGTAGCCACCATGAGTCAAAAAGCCTCAAAAAAGCATTTCAGTAACATGTCATCCAAAGTAGAGTGAAATCTGTAACAAAAAGCCTGCATTCACCACAGCTTTAGAAGTCAATAAATGTATGTAAACCTACAATTCCTTACAAACAAGATCAGTATACATTTGCAGCATCTATTGCTTTGGTCTCTATGGTAATAGGCAACACTGTCTAATTAAACCAAATGGAAAAAGTTAGTTTCACGCTAATTTAGGCAGTGCAGTTGACTAACTTGACAAAGAGAAACATAGTAATTTTCTCCCTTTTAAATTTTTTCTCCATCTTTAGCTTCTTCCACCGGGAGAAGGCTTGCCTGATGTTTATCCTATCCTTTATCCTCCATTTTTGTATTCTGAGTTTTCAGTTTTTTTCCCATTCTTGGAGATGGGGAAACCGTTTCTTGTGCTGCTGCTGCACATCCATGTTCCTGCATTGAGCTGCAGCAGTGCAGACTTCCAGCTGTTGGATTGTCTCTAAATGATCTTCACTGCCGCCTCTTACTGGACTACCAGCAAGGAGAAATGTTGTTATTCCATCGATTAGTACTATTTCATCCCTTGCCACCATCTGCAGTTTCAAGATGGCAGACTTTCATGGAGCTCCGTAAACGGATGACCTGTCTTATGTATAAGCTAAGACAAAAATTCATTAGTTGATGCGCGCAAAGTGCTATATATTGATCTGAAGATCATTTAATGTATTTCATGTTAAGCTAAGACTAGGGTAAAAAGTTACAGTTGACCTAAGACCCAGTGGAAATTTTATAAGAACTTGGGCAGCATTAGGAGTGATGGAGTCAACACTTCCAATTTCTCCTAGGAGTTTCTGCTGGAGGAGGAAAGACGAGTCATTGGTTTGATCTGGAGTAAATGTTGTGACTGCTGCAATAGTGTCCCCAGGAAAATAAAACCTCTACAAGAAAGCGAGATGCTGCTATGTAGAACAAGATGAACCCTTTGGGCACAGTTCTCCTCTCTGCTCTTAGAGATGGATTCTTGGAGTGTGGATTGTATTTTCCATCTGTAACTCCTGTATGTCAGAGGGTGTTGTTACCCATTCTGCCTTCATTCGAACTGCAGCATTTCTCTGTTTTTACCAGGATGATATCAGTCTTTAAAAACGGAGTCTGATGACATTCTGAAATCCGTTTCATACTCAGCTTTCAGAAAGAGCAGTAGCCGACATAACGTTTGGTTACTGAAGTCATCACCTGAATCTGAGGCAAACATTGATTTTATTCTCATACTGTAGCTAGAGGAAGGGGTTTAGGATGGTGTTTTACTATCAGGAACACTTTTGATAGAATGAAAATGAAATTTTTTTACCAATTAACCTGTAAAAAATGTCTTAATAAGCAGAACCTTCATCACTAAAGGATGAGCAGCTCATTAAAGATGAAATTCCTCGATCCTGAAAGATGTTTTACAGAGTTTATTTTTACCAGATATGAGTAACGATTACACTCCTTGTATATCAGATCTTCCAGTGGTCCAGCATCTTGTGCCGCAGCAAAACCCTAACTTTATTTAACGTCTTCAGAGCCAGAAGTGGTCTAGATTCTATTGTTTCTTTTTGGCTGAAAAATTTATTAGTGGAGTCATGGAGTTATCTGTGCTCTTTTATTTACTGTTTTTACTTTTTCACAAGTTAATAAGATTAAAACTAAACAAACATTTTTATCTTCAGTCTAAAGGTTTTTAAATGTTTTATATCACTGCTGCTTACTTATCAAGGCTGAACTTGAAATACTCTAGAGAGCTGTTCTTAATTAAATTTCTTTTTGTTTACACTTGTGTATACAAAATGACAAAATAACATCTGTCTAAGTCTAAAATGGGAACTAAATAAAGTTAATATGTGTTCCATGTCAAGATCGTGACCCAATGGCATAAAGGGTTTGCATTTAAGCTTTTAGTTATCCAGCCCTTCATCTAATTCTGTTGGTGGTAAATTCTAAATATGCATCATTACATTTGGGCAAATTAACACAAAATCTTTAGACATAAGTTGATTTCTTAAGGCCTGATTCTGATACCTCGAAATAAATTCTGAGTGATTTCTGGTTTATAGGAAAAAACTTGATGCAAAAGTGGAGGAATTTAGGACAATAAGTGAAGCTATACATCTTCCAATGTTTAGACTCATTAAACAAACATTAACAGGAATGTTTCTTTGCAATATACTTTAACAGTCTAAAATTTTATTATTTTAAAGTTTACATTATAAACCATGCCATAAATCATGGCTTTACAACAGGAACCAGTCATCTAATTGGAAAACAGTTCAATTTCTTTTAGTTGTAGTTTGGATTTGTTATTGAAAATTGGTCCTCTCTTGTCTTTTTCTCCGACTCATCCAGGCTCAGCACTCTCACCACGTGATCCAGCAGGTTCTGAACCACCTGGACGCCAACAACAAGAGCACGCCGCGGGTCAGAGCCGGTATCGTCCAGGTCCTGCTGGAGACGGTGGCCATTGCTGCTAAAGGGTCTGTGGGTGAGTCCAGGAAATGTTCCCATTCCTTCATAGAGAAGATTGTGCGTCAAACCTTCAGTTATTGATGACATGCTGGCGAGCATTTCATTTTTAAATGGACTGCAGTGATACCAGGCGGAGAAAATGTCACGGTTCATATGACGTGTTAATAGAAACGCCTCCCTCTGGAGAGAAAAAAAGTTCATTTATCCTCCTCACTGCAGTCGTATAGAAACTTCCACAAACAAAACTGTAGCCCATATTATCAAAGTATGATCAGCTTTATATGAGTTTAATTTGAAGCTAAAAGTTAGATGATTTCATGCATATAATCAGACTGCAGTTAGTCTCAGCATGGATGATTTTGAATGTGGACAAAAACCTAAGATAAGTTTGTTTCTCTTAGAATCTAACTGCTCTTTGTCTTTTCTTTCGCCCACTAAAGTATGTGATAATTGAATTATATTTCTGAAGCATGAAGGTTATCACCTCGAGAACAGAGGAGCAAAAACAAATTAACAGAAAACAAATTAGCATTTGCCACGACAAAATATTTCTGTTACATGAAGGTGAAAATCTCCGACCAGAAGAGATAATTAAAAACTTTGATTTATTTAATGAAAGCAGTTTCTGTTCCAATTAAACTTTGTTGAATGTGTGTTTGTGTGTTGGGGGGAAAATAAAAATAAAATTCATTGTGGACAGGAATGATCCAAGAGTCCAAAGGAAGTGATGTGTTCAACTTTGAAAGTGAAAACCCGACTCCTCCTAATCTTTGGCTCGGTACAGTAACATATACGGTGTGGTTGGATTAAAAATGTCTGCAGCTTTTCCCTCTTATTCACCTGACATCAACAAGTCTCTGAAAAAAAAAATGGAGCTGTTAAAGACGCTGCATACTGTTTGTAACAGAACTGAAGACATTAAGTAATATCTGTGCTGCTTTAGCTGCGCGGTGGAAAAAGTGGGTCTAATGTGCGTTGGGCAGAGCTACCCTATCATTTCTTTGCCTGTAACAATGGCAGCTATATTTGCTGTGATCAGTGGGTAAAAAGTTGTTTTTATATGTTTTTAAGTGAGAAAGTCCCCCTGAAAACTTCATCTGTGCAGTCAGTTTATCAAGATTACAATCCTGCCTTTAAATTTTATGTCGTTGTCGGAGCTGCTCAGAGCCCCACACACCGGCATTGCGCTGTCACTAGGAATCCCATTCAACGCGTCCCGCGCATCAGATGCTCAGCAGCTCACGATGTGCTGCTTCAGCTTCTTAAACGCTCTGCGGGACATTTTGCTGCACCTTGATGTGCGTCAACCATTTACTTTGCATGTAAACTAGCTGCTCCTGATGCCTCTGCTACTTTAGGTGTGAACGTAGCATAAGCGAACAGCTGAGCACAAATAAGCGAACAGCTGAGCACCATAAAAAAGTTACAGTTCATTTTTCTCCAAACTTACTAATTGAACTAAAATTAGCTGATATTTTCATTATGACCTCTGTTGTGTCATTTATATTCAGGGTTTCTGCGGGTCATTAAAAATCATTAAAATTCATTAAATTATTGTTTTTTAAATGAAGGCCTTAATTAGCATTAGAATTCATTAAAGTTGATAATCGTGGAAATAAAATGCTTCGGAAAAGTAGCTTTAGGTGGAGAAAAGGCTAGAGAATGGTTAAAATGCAAATTTTAACCAAAGTGGTGGGAAAACGGGGTGAAGGTGGTGAAGGATTTTGCCGTGTGTATATATACACAAGTCATGGATATTTGTTGATGGCATTAAGATTATTTCTAAGAGCATTAAAAGAGCAAATAAAAAGCATTAAATAAAGTTACTCATTCATGTATAAACCCTGATATTGTATCATCTATATGTCTCATGTCTTCATTTCTGTTCAAAAGTTTGAAATGTAAAAAGTTAACCCTTTAATGTTTTTGCTTTAAATCTAAATTCAGGCGACACTTACCTGTCTATAGCATCCACTTTGCCTTGGATATAAACTATGCAGGAAAAAATCCATGTTGATGTCAGGTTCGTAATGGTATCCCTTTAAAATTCTCACAGGTTTTAATTAATATAGAAAACAGGGAGGGACCAGAAGAAACCTGAAAGTTCAATCCTTAAAGGTCTGATTTGGTTTGAGTAGTTAATTATGTTTACTTTATTTTGAGCTCCATGATTACAGAAATAAGATCTTCGATTGTTTTTAAGCTTTTTTTTTATCCAAGTCCTTTAAAAAAAAAAATAAATAAATAAATAAAATGCCTAACCAGCCAGAACTGCTAAAGCCAAACTATGCATTAAGATTTTTCAGGTTCTGAAAGGCGCATTTATCTCTGGGTTTCTTCTGGTCCCTCCTTATTTGTAGGTTTTTTAAACTGAGCCTAACGGTGGGGAGCTGCAGATTCTAGCCGTGTTGTGATAGCTGACAGTGATGTGTAGAGCAGTAAGGTGATGTGCCAACAAAGTCTTTGCAGTAGTCTCTTATTAATAATAAAACAAATTAAAGTAAACAAAAAACAGGTTTTGTCACAGTTTTTTGGGTGAAATGTTTTATTTCTGGTATTTACCCTGGAACTCTTGGCGTCTCCATATGAAGGATTTCAAATCTCCAGAGCTGCGTTCTATTTTTAAAGATAGTAGCTAAAGAATGTAGCTAATTTTTAGAGCATTGAGGCCTCATAGGGCCATAGGGGCGAACCAGGCGGCACTGACTAAATGATAATCTGAGGTGTTGCTTTCTGTGACAGAATAAATTAGTCTTGCTGTTACTGCTGCCTGCACCTTTCTGCAGCTTGTAGCAGGTGTCTGATTGTTACAAGACTAAATTTAGTTGTAGTAAATTTGGAATATGTTATAGTTTCAAATTTGGACCAAGATCCAACATGCAGCTACTGCTCATCAGAACCAGGCACTGTTTGATTTAACAGCCATCATGATGTTTGGCTGTAAAATGATTTTAACCAAATCATAATTTTTGAAACTCATAACTTACCAGATTTGCTATTACTAAAGTGCAAAAGCACAATTATTAATGCTTAGCACATTTTTTTTCTATTGATGTTGAGTTTCTGACTAATTTTAAAATCTCAAATAGAAATTCATTTAAGATCCAAATAATTAGAAATTCTCCAGTATGACTTTTGTTAGAGCCTGATATTTTTATCTTTATCTATTATAATCAAAGCCAGGCTATTATATTGATTTTTATACCAGAAGCTTTATTTAGCGCTTAAGCTGGTTGATAAAAATTGGATTGTATGACTCATTGTATTTTTATTTTTTTTCTATAACATTTTTTTCTTTTAAATCTGGAGATTGTATCATTTTGAACCGCGTTTATTAGACTCTGTAAACACATGAAAAGAACATGATCAAATAGTTCTGCCATTTTCCCTACTCCACCCATTCATGGATGAAGGCAGGAGTCACCATAGCAACCTGTGACTCTATTGCATTTAGAAGAATTTTTCTTCTTTTTTTATTTGATTTATTAATATTGCAATACTCTGGTTTCTATGTATTCTCTGTTTATATTTTTTATCTATACCTTACCTATAGTAAACAGATACCTATTTATTGGTGTTTCTTTTTCAATAAATCTAAAATTAAAGCAAAAGTTTTAGCTTTAGTTCTGAGATTTTATTGTTTATGTAATACTATTAATATTATAGTGATTATTTTTCCTCTTTGTCCTCTAGAAACTGAATTTAGGATCACTGTGGTCTATTTTTTTATTTTTATAAATAGCAGTAATTTGTTGAAATAAAAAAATATCTTAAGTTAACAGAATAGAATAGAATCAAATACACTTTATTGTCCCCTAGAGCAGACATTCCCAACCTCGGCCCTCGAGGCCTGCTGTCCTGCAGGTTTTAGAGGTTTCCTTGCTCCAGAACAGCTGATTTTAATTGAAAGCTGATTAACAGGCTTTTGGTCTACTGCAACCATTATAATCAGCTGTGCTAAAGCAGGGAAACCTCTAAAACCTGCAGGACAGCGGGCCTCGAGGACCGAGGTTGGGGATGCCTGCCCTAGAGGATATGGACCCAAGTGTGCAGTGCATAGTAGTAGCTGCCATTATAAAAAAAAATAATAATAAATACGATTAAAAAAACAAAAACGAACTAAAAATGCACACATAGGCTACAAACGCACTCATAATACATCCCCTAAAGAATATATATAATTATTTCTGGAGCACTTTCAGCTACTACACAAGACCAAAGTACAGTGAATATCACTGTATAAATTGAGTTAAAAATGTAAGACAGTTAAAAAAAATTAAGTACAAAATAAACTCATATTTGGTTTACAAAAAAATAAGCATAAAAAATCTTGTTTTTTTCAGTCTCTGCAGATAAAAAGATCCCGCAGCATGAGGCTGCCTTTACTATGCTTTGAATCTGGGCTGTTTTGACCTCCTGTTGATATTTTTGAATCAAGAAATGTTAAAATTGTCTGTTTTTGCATTTTCCCTTTGTTTTGCACCACTGAGCACCGTTGGTTAAAACTAGCCCCGAGCTAAACACACTGAACACCTCACAGCCGGAGCAGTCAGCTGTGAAACATAATGAGCATATTGTGCCATCATCACCTAATGGAAGAAAATGACACATGTAAAAATTGTTCCTTTTATCGCTGCATGAAATCAAAGAGGATTTCCTTGTTTTTGCAAAGGATGAAGCCGGTTCTGATTCCGGTTATTCGAGTCAGATTTTTATTTTTATTTTCTAACTGCCGGTGTGTGACGGCAGGTCCGACGGTGCTGGAGGTCTTCAACACTCTGCTCAAACACCTGAGGATGAGCGTGGACTTCGAGCTGGGCGAGAGCTCCAGGAGGAACTCCAGCAGCAGCGTCTCGTCCGCCCGTGGCAGAGAGAGCGACGAGCGAATCGTGCAGAACGCCATCATCCAGACCATCGGTGTGGCCCTTTTCTACCCGGGCTTTTAATTCTTTTTTTAAACGCTGCCGTGTTTGAGCTCTGACTCATTTCTCTGTTCCTCTCTGCAGGGTTTTTTGGGGGAAATCTGCCAGATTACCAGCGAGCTGAAGTCATGATGTTCATCATGGGGAAAGTGCCAGTGTATGGGACCCCCTGCCACACCTTGGACACAGTTAAGATCGGGTGAGTCACATGGCCACTCTAACCCATGCAGACTGTGAATCATCCTGATTCTAGAGGCTTTCAGAGCCCAGCATTCAGTCTCTCTGTTCTTCATCAGCTTTCTGAGTCACCACCAAAGATCCTAACTGGAAAGTTTAACAGCAACAGACAGAAAACCCAATTTGATGGATGTCAGCCTACATCCCTGTCTAGAATCTGATTAAGTTTAACTTTCTGTCCTGTGTTGGTTTTGTTTACGCCAGATCCAAACAAGATGGGAACTAAAGGATGTAAAACTAATTTTTTTTGTTGAAGGCCTTGACTCTTTAATTCTGGACTCACAGATGATTGTAGCACATGTTCAGAAAAGATAAACACACTAAAAGTTTAATCTGCCCTCCCAGATGCCCCGCAGTGCTCTCAGCCTCGGGGTCACCAGGAAGGAGAGACAAGCTGCAGGCCTCAGGAGAGCCAGGAGGATAATCCCAAATCAAATGAACCCTGTTCTCCTTCTGCTCCTTAGAATTACAGACGTTCTTCCTCTTTCTTCCTTTACTGCTGCAAGCATTGGTTTGAACCTGCAGCCTGTCGGCATCATGCTTCCATCCCTTAACACTTTATATATCAGACTGGCCCTTTGCTTTAGTTTGGAGATAATGTCATGATGTTATTTGAAAAAAAAAGCAAATGAATATATGTGAGGAGTTTATTTTTTAAAGGAGCTGATATTGGACTGAATCATCACTGCAGCTCTGTGACTATTATGTTGATGCTCTGCCTCAGGCACCAGGGGACCAAGAGGATCCAGACGATGCTCCTCAGCTCCCTCATCATGGTGAGACCTCCTCTTCTTTCACCTCCTCCTCGCGGTCTAAATGTTTTAAGTTGGATCATCTATCCTTTGATGTGATTTAAAAAAAATAGCATCACAGTATGTATCCATGGCTTCAATATCTTTCATCTGAAGTTCCTTTAGTTTCCTTTAGTATTAGTGTTACTGCTGCTCTAAAGGCTGTGACCAAAAAGGCTGCAGAACTGAGCGAGCCTTAAAAATGTATTTGATAAAAAAGTGACCTCCTTTTGTGTTTTTTTTTTTTTTATGGAATAGATGCACAATTTTCCAACCATGAATCACTCTGAAAGGTTAAGCTAACCTGCAAACTGGGTTCTTTTTCAACATAATTACCTGCGTCAAGGAGGTTATGTTTTCGTTTTCGGTTTGTCTGTTTTCAAATAACTAGAAAGTTTTGGGTGGATTTTTATTAACATTTCAAAGAGGTGCATATTGTGAATGGCAAAAAAAATTAAATATTACATTTTGATGATGATCTGTATCACCATCTGGATCAAGGAAATTCTTAGAAGGATTCTGTGAATAAGTATGAACTTAAAGTGAAAGTCCCAATATGTCGGTGGAAATGAGCTACTTGGTGGAGGTCCGCATTCTCTGAGTGTTTTTCTGGTTTGATATAAAAATCTTCCTCTCTATTGCAAAAATTTAATTTATTTCCTTTTATGTAAAATGTTATTTCCCTTGTTTTAAAACCTAAAAACAAAATCTTTGATCTTGAACTTAAAAAGTAAAAAAAAATAAATCCTGTGGCTCCAAAGAGAGGAAGCTGGGCTGTGAGTGAACTTGTCTCCCCGGGTTGCAGAAGGTGCTGACCCCTGCTGTAGATGGAAACCTTTCAAAACGAGGGCATTCAGCAGACTGTTAGTGAAAGCAGCTGATTTTTGGGTTCTCTGAGGTTTTTCATACTGAAAGGCTCAGACGAATCTCCACTGACTGCAGTCATAGAAAAACTAAGTCCACCCTAATCCAGCTGCAGGAATCTAAAACTTTACATCAACTGATCAGATAAACTCAGTCACTGCTTATGAAATAAGAATAAAACATAAGTTTGAACTATAATTTAGTGCCTCTGTGTTTAATTTCTGTTCTAAATAAACGTGATGAAGGGGCCTGGAGTCTTTACCTTCTGTAATTACTTCCCCCAAGACAGAGAGCCTCATCATAAGAGATGAAGAGGTACAGGTGTTACCAAGTAGAGACGCCAAGACAGCAGCTAGGATATTTCTAGATAGATTCTTCCTTTTCAAAGTTGATCTAAACACATGTCCATCTGAAAGCTGCTGAACCACATTATTCCTGCAGGGATGCAAACAAGCAGGGCAGCAGTTCATATATTCAAGTTGCATCTTTATCAATCCTGAAAAACAAGCATGCATGTTTCTAAAAGCTGCTGCTACTAACTCTTTTCAATACTATTGCGTGTGAGATGTGCAAGTGAGTATTCAACCATTACCTCCAGCTGCATCCTTTCCCATGCACTGATGCAAACACTGAAGCCCCAAAGAGCTGCTGCAGCTATTTGACTCTGAGTGGATGTTTGACCCACTGGAGGACCAAACAAAGATGGATGAGGGTTAGCATCCTGGTTGAAGATTAAAGCTGAATCTCCTCCTGGTTCATCTGTGAGGTGTGAAAACTACTCGAGGCATTGATTGGCGGTGGGCTCAAAGTTTAGCTCAAAGGCTGGAGATGAAAAAATATTTTTGTTTGTTTGCTCCCTCCAGGTTTTTCGTCCTTTTTTTAGTGTTCTGCTGCTGAAAACAAAGCCAGAAATCTGAAACTTTTTAAAAATATCTCTGGTTTTAATGGATTGTCATGCTGCAGCTACTGAAGACACTGAAAGTAAAATTTTAGAGGTTTTCCTCTTGGTAACCTAACCATTCTTGCCGAGCTGACCTCCTGCCTCCTGCTTGTTGATCTGTGACAGTTCCGGTCTCTTCCCTCCTCAGGTTACGTCTGGGTTCAAGTCCAAATCCATGTCGGCAGCGTTGCCCCCTCCCTTCCTGGACCCGCTCTTCTCCATCTCGCTGATGGAGGACAGCGAATTGAGACAGTTGGTCCTGGAGATCCTCCATAACATCATCGATCGCCATGACAACCGCGCCAAGCTACGCGGCATCAGGTAACTTTGCAGTCTGTCGATCCACATCTAATTCCTGCTTTCTGAGAGACTAGGTTCACGGTCAAAGTTTGTTTTTTCTTTCTCTTCCAGAATTATCCCAAATGTTGCTGCTCTGAAGATTAAAAGGGAGAAAATTTCTAAACAGGACGTTGCGTTCATGAAAAAGGTAATAAATGGAAATAAAAATGGCACCATTTTTCAGGGGTTAACGTTTTACTAACTGTAGATGTAGGTTAGCATTCGGTAAATTAACAGTGTCTTGGTGAAGATTAATCTTAATTTTTTGGGGAAATTCATTTTTTTTTTTTAAGATATCAACAACTTAACCGATAAGGAATGTAACCTCTACCCAAATTCTCTGTGGAAAAATGCCCTCCCCTATTATTTTTTGGGGAAAAAGAAACCTTCACTGCAAAAACCAATCTAGAAATTAGTTAAGATTTCTTAAATTAAGTGTATTTACCCTAATTTTGAGTAATTAAAAAAATAGATCTGCCAATAAAAATAGAATAATTAGATATTATGCACTTGAAATAAGAGACTGCAGTTCTTATTCCATTGGCAAATTTTCTCACTTATTTGCTCCATTCAAGAAAAAAACAATCACTTATTTTTTGATAAATAGACTTAATAAATATAATAAATTTTTTTGCTGTGTGTTAAACCAGGTTCTTCCATTGAAAATAAACTCTGACCACCTCGGTTAGAACTTGGTTAAACTTCAACCAAGTTGTGAGGGAAAGTAACCACCACCTTCGTTTTCTGATGAAAGAAAACCCATTTTACATTCTCCGGCTAAAGTTAACTTTCATGTCTTAAAGGAATAGTACACCCAAAACATGATTAGCCTTCATTTTCTACTCACCTCCATGCTGAACAACACTCTGGAGTACTTTTTTGATATCTCAAATGCATCTGGAGATCTGGGAGGCTTCTTGCTGTCTGCTGACATTCAAATAATGGAGGTCTATGGTGCCCGAGACAGAAAGGTCCATAAAAGTCCACAAAAACGTGTCAATATTCCTCCATACTGCTCGTCCAATGTATTCCAAGTGTCCTGAGTGGGTAGCGTCCATAATTTACTCGAAACGAAGTCATTTAGAATGTTTTTAGAGCATAAACAGTAGTGTATAGGATTTCCTGAAAGCGCGCACATGCGCGTTCACGAGCCTACGGAAGCCGGCAGACCAAACCAGCGCATTCAGCTCGGCAAAGAACTCATGCTCTTCCTCAACACTGAAGTCCTCAGACATTTTTCTTTCGTTGTTTCTTTCTTTGCACAGGTAAACAGCACATTTCTTCTGCTACGCTTGCATTATCGGCAGAGCAGACGCGAATGCGCACTTTCATCTGGTTTAGTCTGCCGGCTTCCGTAGCGTCATGAACGCGCCGGCGCGCGCTTTCAGGAAATCCTATACACTACTGTTTATGCTCTAAAAACATTCTAAATGACTTCGTTTCGAGTAAATTCTGGATGCTACCCACTCAGGACACTTGGAATACATTGGACGAGCAGTATGGAGGAATATTGACACGTTTTTGTGGACTTTTATGGACCTTTCTGTCTCGGGCACCATGGACCTCCATTATTTGAATGTCAGCAGACAGCAAGAAGCCTCCCAGATCTCCAGATGCATTTGAGATATCAAAAAAGTACTCCAGAGTGTTGTTCAGCATGGGGGTGAGTAGAAAATGAAGGCTAATCATGTTTTGGGTGTACTATTCCTTTAACAAGAAAGTTGAACTCCAGCCTCGTTGTCTGGAGAAATATCTTATCTAAAGTGTAACTCACCTCTGTTAAAGAATAGATCCAGCTTTGGAAAGATTTTGTGAAATAACCAAATTGGCTGTGGCCAAGAAACCCTACTGGGCGGGGCTACAGTATGTGAGCAATGGGAAAAACAAAAGTGTGGACAGGATGAGGTAGAGTGGCTGCTAATTTAGCCTGGCTTATACATATTGAAGTATGGAGGAGGAGCAGAAGTATCCTGCTGGTTATACAACATGTAGATCTTTTGAGGTGGAGGGTTTTTCCACACCTTGTCTCTCGTGACCAGAGGTTTAGGCAAGCTTTCTTGGGCCAAGAGGGCCGGCGCGTTATCGGTTAGCACCAAAATGAAAACGTTTGACAATGAAAGCATGTACTGTTTAATCCAAGAGGAAAATTCAGCTGCAATAGCCACAGTTTAACCATAAGAGGGCAGCATTAGAACCGTTTTAATTGCAGAATTAAACAGGTGTAGAGGTAAATACACCCTTAGGCTCAGTTTACACAGTTTATCTGTAGATGAAAGTTGATTTCGGTGGGGTCGCGCAAAGTTCTGGATGAAGAAGGTAAGCTAATCAGATATAACCTTGCGCTGCAAGCAGGATAGCGGCGAGATTCGAATTTTCAATCTCACAACAAATTCATCTTGAAAGACTCCCTCCAATGCGTCCGTCTCTGAAACAACCAGCGGGTTGGTCCAATGACACGCCAGCAGTGTTTTTTTGGGGCGGGACATGTAGGAATGACAACAGTTGCTACGCTAGAGGACTCACCTGTTGATACAAAAATTGACTTGGTTTTAGCTAAAATAAAAATTTTTCACTTGAAAATGAGCAAAGAGAAAGCACTTTGTGCATTTGTAGATGGGAAAGATGTTTGTCCTTTTCTTCCTACAATTTCGACAAAGTTTAATTTATCACCTTACTCTGCCAGTTGTGAAAACACTCAAGAAGCTGCAGACGAATCCTTTTGTAATGCTATGATTGGCTGAAACCGTATGGAAGGCGGGTACTAGCTGGCACGTAACTTAATCAACTGAAAGTATTGCACTAAACGTCTCTCCTTTTCACGGACAGACACGTTCTACACATATCACTCAGGTTAAATCACATTAGCTATAGGAAGATAACCTGCTCACAATAAGCACTTATTTATGTACTGCTCTCATGTTATTCAAAGTAGCTGTAATTTTACAGTTTTTGGATCCACATTATTTAAATATCATTGTCTGAAAAATCATACAGCTCACCTGAAAATGTAAATAGAGAAACTTCCCAGTCTCTGAGAAAGCATAGATCTATCTGTTGTAGAAAGAACCCCAGGGACAGAACCATAAACTGGATCCATGCTGGTATGAAAGCCTCTAATGCCTGATGTGGGGCTGCCTTCCACTTAAGAAGGTTTCCGGGCTTATTGACCTGACAGGAGGGGCCTCTTCCCCCCCCCCCCCCCCCCCCCCCCCCCAACCCCTCAGCGGTGACGTTTCCATGAAGACGTCCCCAGTTCAATTTCACCTGTGATTCACACACAAACTACAGCCTTGTGTTTAAGCAGCTGCAGGACCTGAAGCAGTGGCGTTTCTGCTTCGCTCCCAGCCGCCTTTAATGGAATCCAACTGTAACTCATTGGAGGTGAATGAGGAGTCGCTGACCTCCGCTTTCCATTAACCTCCGCATTGAGGGGGTGAATTCCCGAGTGGCTCCGGCACATTCATTTATTTCATAGTCTATCTGCAATCTCCATCAGCTCTGCTTCTGATACAAAAGGTTATTTTTAGTCTGATTCAGAATTAATTGAATTAATCTTTTTTTTTTTTCACCCCTTGAATCTTTCAACCAAAATAATTTTGCTTCTCTGTTTAGAGAGAGCTCTCCAGCTGCTCTGGTGCTTTTTTTACCTCTGGATCAATAATTTAAGCTTTAGCTTACAAAGTAAAGTTTAATGTCTGGTGACTAAAATATCTACAAACACTTTGCAGACAGAGAGAGCAATCCTCTCTGTCCATATATGCTCTGTTTTAGTGTTTGGAGGAGCAGGCATTGGTCTGCCAACACTTCAGGTTCTGGTGGTAATTTTTCTTGCACAGTTTAAAGAATCGGCTGCATGTCCAAACATAAAAATGTTCTGTTTAGTAACCGGGAAAAAAAAAAAAAAACCAAGACAGTAAATTCTCACATGTTAAGAGGATGACATGTTTTTGACTCATTTGTTTGGAACACGGCTAAACTGTTAGAATATTTATAACACCGTCTTTTGTTTTGGTCGCTTTCTACGCATTAGCTGGAGCACCCTGCAGACTATAAGCCTTAATAAATACAGTGGATGGAATCCTAATGTCTGTGATTCCTCACTGTCACAGAGCTTCATTGCTGTCCAAAAGCTATTAATGAGACGCATCACCGCAGCAGGAGACCTGACGCTTCATTAACACCAACACAAACGCAGCAGTTTGTTTGGTTCAGTCCCATAAACAGCGTCCTGCCGTCACAAACGCAGTCTGCTAGTTCTTCCAGGAAATAGTTGGATCCCTCGTGTGGGCTGATACCTTAAAGAATTTAACAGGTTTGACAGGGATTAAAAACTAGTTTTTGTCAGGTGTCTTGTTCTTTTTTAATTTAGCAGGTGTGATCCTGGTCTGAGTTTACAGTGTAATGTGTCTTTTAAGGAACCATCTGGTCCTGTTTCTGGTGTGTTTATTATAAAATAAACCCCATCATAAATAAGTACAAAGGCTAAAGATTTCTAAGAAGCAAAAACCTCTAAAGAAATAGTTTTAAAGCCGACCAGAAGGCCAGCAGCAGCTGATCTTTTGCCATTGCTGTATGTCTGAGTTTAGTCTTCCCTGTTAGGGTCAGATCATGTTCAGAAACGTTTTTATTGCTGAGTCATTCTGGGATAGAGTCGTGTTGGAACAGTGCTAAGCAACCCAAAATAGAATGGTACGAATGTGTGTGCTTTTCCATCCATCTATCCATCCCTCCATCCATGCATCAATCCCTCCCTCCCCCTATCTCTCCCTCCATCCATCCATCTCCCCATCCATCCATCAATCCCTCCATCCATCCCAACATTCCGGCCATCCGGCATCCATCCCTCCATCCATCCCCCATCCATCAATCTCTCTGTCCCTCCATCCATCCCCCATCCATCAATCTCTCTGTCCCTCCATCCAACCCCCATTCATCAATCCGTCCATCCCTTCCTCCTTCTATCTCTCCTTTCATCCATGCCGCCATCTATCTCTCCATCCATCCCTCCATCCTTTCCCCAATCCATCCATCCCTCCTTCCCTCTATCCCTTCATCTGTTCCCCATCAATCCCTCCATCCATCCCACCATCCAGGCATCTGGCATCCATCCATCCTTTCCCCAATCCATCCATCCCTCCTTCCCACTATCCCTTCATCTGTTCCCCATCAATCCCTCCATCCATCCCACCATCCAGGCATCTGGCATCCATCCATCCTTTCCCCAATCCATCCATCCCTCCTTCCCTCTATCCCTTCATCTATTTCCCATCTATCCAACCATCCATCCCTCCTTCCCTCTATCTCTCCATCCATCCCACCATCAATCCGTCCATCCCCTCCTCCTTCTATCTCTCCCTCCATCCATGCGTCCATCTATCTCTCCATCTATCCATCCCTCCATCTTTTCCCCAATCCATCCATCCCTCCTTCCCTCTATCCCTTCATCTAGTCCCCATCAATCCAACCATCCATCCCTCCTTCCCTCTATCTCTCCATCCATCCATCTATCATCCATCTCTTTGCATTTAACAGCTTCCTTTTCAGAGTCTCGCCTTGATAAAATTTTCTGTAATAGATTCAGAGTGAAGTTTTTTCATAGCTTTGTATTTTGAGCCTGAACAATAATGAAAGGAGATTAAAGTAGCCCTACATAAAGCACCTGAAAGGCATGAATGAAATAATAAAGAAAAAGAAACTTGTTTTCAAACGATTTACCCCAGCCACACTCAGCAGTAAATGTGGCTGATTTAAGGGGCTAAAATAGAAAATGTTATCATTTAAATGTGTCTATTCATAAATGTACTAATCTGTGTTCCTCCCTCTTCTCTCTGCAGCATGGTCAGCAGCTCTATCGCCACGTCTATCTGGGTTGCAAAGAGGAAGACAACGTCCACAAAAACTTTGAGCTGCTCTTCACCACTCTGGCCATTCTGACCATCGAGCTGGCCAATGAGGAGGTGGTCGTGGACCTGATCCGACTCTCCATTGCACTGCAGGTGACACTTTTCTATCCAGGTTATTCACCGGGAAAATGACTTTAAGCTAAACTACACAGTGTTTGTAGTATTAAGAGGTAAACAATATAATGTTTCAAACAGAGACAAAATGTTGGACCATTGTCAGCTGTAGATCTAATGAGATGCCAAAGAGTTTAAGTGCAGATTCCCTTCATAGTAAAAGACACTATTTATTTCAATAAATGATGAGCTGTTACAAGCGGCTGGTTATAGAAAAGGTTGAACTAATCTGAATACTACAGCCTAGTTTAAAGATCTCTGACATCCAAAGCTTACAAACACAGTCATTTTAATTTAAGGGTTCCTATGGGGTTGTGTATCCAAGAGAATATGACAAACTTCATGAAGATGCAATTTACACACACCCACCTGTTTTGTAATGATTTCTGTAAGTTCCAGGAAAGTAACATCTGTAAATTCCTTGGAAAGTAGCCGAGCTGGAAAGAGTACTTGAAAGGTTTTTGATAAGTAATATTCGTACTACTTAAACTTTTTAGCACAAGTAAAAGTATAAGATTGTTACATACTGTAAGAAATCCCTCCAGTAAGTGTGAAGAAGTACCTGGTATTAAGTACTGAATGAGATGTGATCTAATGAAATGATGTAATCAGACAGTTATGTGCAAAATCTGGAATTTTAAAGTATAAAACAAATAACATGATTACTAAATAAATAATTTATTACAATATTTATTGTAAGTAATGTATATACAGTATGTTAAGAAAAGATGAACAACTTCTGGTTACTTGTAGTTGACGGAGTAACCAGAGATTTTACTCAAGTAAGAGTAGCAGTACTCACAAGATTATGACTATGAATAATAAAGTAATACTTGACCTGCAAGTACTTCTAAAAGGTTCCTCGTGTAAATGTACCTGAGTATATGTAGCTAGTTACTAGCCAACTCTGGAGAGAAGCATGTAGCCTGTAGGTTAGAGAGGCATCTAGGTTAAGTTTCCAGAAACTAGATAGAGTAGCCTGTAGTTTAGAGGAGGGTAGGGCATATTTCAGTCAGGAAACTCACATCTGCTTAAAAAAGGCTGTAATTCTTTTAAACCTAATGCATGCAGTCTGTTTTTGTGAGGATCTAGGTGCACAATGCAACGTTCTATAGGAGAGCTTTAAAAAGAAACACCAGAGGACCGCCTTCTATCACTAAACTACTATTTGGGAACTCTGGTTTTTTGTTGGGGATGGATCACTTAGCTGAAACAATGTTAAGCTTTTTGCCAACATTGGTTACTAGCTGACGTTCAACTGTCTGCCCATTGTATCCAATCATCTTAAACTCTGTAATCTAGTTAAAAACAAGTAACTGAGAGGATTACCCCACCAGCTGGGTATGATACATTCAGTTACAGCTGGGAGTCTAGATTGTATGAAGAAACACCATCCCTCTGGTTTCTGCAGGACATGGCTCTAAACAACGAGGAAAACATGCCAATGTCGATCCGCTGTGGTATTATGGCACTCGTGGCAGCGTACCTCAACTTCCTGAGTCAGATGATCGCCAACCCACCATTCTGTCAACATGTCAGTAAGGTGTGTCATCAACCAGAAGTACTGCTGATTCTTTTATTATTTGTTTTTACAACATTTTTTCCCAATCCTGTTTCGCTCTAAAGTATCTTTCAACTGATAATTCTGGTAATTTCTGCTGTTGCCTCTTTAGGTAATTGAGCTGAGAAGCATGGATGCTCCCTACCTGCTGCCTGAACACATATTTAGAGACAAGTGTTCGTAAGTATTTAATTTATTGCAGAGTTTTGACTTAAAATAGTCTAAAAATAGAGGAATCTGTGACAAAATGTAATGGAAAGTGGAGTGTCTGGTTATTCAACATTTAATGCGCTTAAAGGGATGTTCATAAGAAAAGGGTTCTGACAGGTACAAGGGTGTCAGTCTATTTAAAACCCCTTAAAGTTAGTAATGAAACTTTTAAATCAAACCAAAAGAAAACATGAACACAGTAGAGAGAGAACAGGAGTTATGTAACCATGCTTCCTGAAACCAGTTCAAAGATCAGCCATGGCATCCTGGAACAAAGATTTTACATTTAAAGTTTGTAATTAGTTGACAGTTGAAATGAGACAAAGTGAACATTAAATCTAAAAAAGTAATTGGAGAGACCTACCATTGTGCCTGACCAAAATATTTTTAGGGAGTCCTACCATCATACCTGACCAAAAGATCGTTGGGAATTTCTGCCATTGTGCCTGACATTTGGGAATCCTACCCTATGCCTCACTAGAGGATGGTCAAGGATTTCTATTATTGAGCCTGACCAACGGATCGTCCTGGAGTCTTACGATTGAGCCTGACCAAAAGATAATAAGAAAGTCCTACCAGTGAGCCTGACCAAAGGATAGTTGGCAAGTCCTATCCCTGTGCTCGACTAAAGGATCATTAGTCCGTCCTACTAACAGGCCTGACCAAAGGACCATTAGTCTGTCCTACTAACAGGCCTGACCAAAGGATCATTAGTTCGTCCATCTCACAGGTCTACTAACAGGCCCAACAGGAGTGTTGGGGAGTTCTACCATTGAGCCTGACCAAAGGATGGTTAGGTAGTCCTACCGCTGTGCCCGACCAAAATATCATAAGGAAGTTCTACCCTTGAGCCTGACCAAAGGACCGTTGGAAAGTCCTATGCTTGTGCCTGACCAAAGGATCATTAGTCCATCTTACCGATTATTAGTGAGTCCTACCATCATACCTAAACAAAATTATTGAGGTTTTTCACCGTTGTGCCTGACAAAAGGATCATTGTGGAGTTCTATGGAGTGCCTCACCACAGGATTGTTGGGAAATTCTACCATTGAGCCTGACCAAAGGATTGTTAGGGAGGCCTACCATTGTACTGACCAAAAGATCATTAGAGCGCTACTGTTGTGCCTGTCCAAAGGATTACTGGGCTTTCCTATCATCATACCTGACCAAGGGATCGTTGGGCAGTCCAGCAGTCATGCCTGACTGATAGATCATTATTGTTATAAGGTCTTAATTTAGTTTCTTATCCTCTAATTATGATTTCCAGGGAAAAGAAACTTTAGATCCTTTTTGGTGTCTGTATATATATATATATATTTATTTATTTATTTATTTATTTATTTATTTTTCTTTTTTTTCTTTTAAATTATTTTTATCTGTTATTACAGTCTTCCTGACTCTTTGGACAAGGATGACAGACAGCTGTATTTCCAAACAGCTGACATGGCCGAGTGTCTGGCAGGGCCAGGGTACAATGTGGAGAGGTTGTCCATTCCGTACATTCCCCAGGTCACAGGTAAAATTCATCCCCTCTTCATAAGCCCTTATATTCATACTATGCACATAGAAAGGTTGATGTTGGATTGAACAGAAATTATTCAACAATTAAATTATTTGAATTTATCAGATTTTTTTTCACCATTGTGTTCAAATGTGACCAAGTACCGATGCAAAATCTAGTTCTACATAAACAGTATCTAGTCTTATCGAAATGATGGGATGCTTTCTAGAAATTACTTCTGCAAGTAGTTTGCCTGCTGGATAAAATAAATTCATAACCTGATAAGAGGCATGTTGCAGATTCTGACTTTCCCTTGTATTACTATCAAAGTTCTGGGAAAGTCCTTGTTACGTTCTGGCCATCTGGTAGTACCCTCTGGTAAAATATCAACTGCATCGTTATGAACATATGGTGATTTATAAGACCTTATCTTTTTTATAAGACCTTAAAGGTGACATTGATTCAGGTAAGTTATTTTACAGTTAAATGGGTTTAAATGTGTTTTGCTTATTTGGAGATTGGGATAAACATGTTGATATTTGTTCTAACCAAAGGTTGTTCTGTTCTTTCTGTAACGTGTTCATGTTCAGTGCTTTACACAGTAGGAAAGATCATCCACAGGTGCAAGCAGACATCCAGAGGTAAACGGCTGAACTAGAGCTTGAGTTGATCCCTGTAGATCTAGTTTCCTGTTGTAAACCACCCCCACCTCCCAAAAAGACAGTGGAACATCCCTAGAAATCAGCTTGTAGAGTTTTTTCTTCATTAATATTTGACTGTTTTGATTGGTTGGTTCCAGTGGCCTGAACACGCTCTGCCCATGCTGTCCATTATTCTGCTCTAATTTAAAAATCATGAAAAAAAGTTTCTGTAGATTCAAAGTTAGGTTTCATCAGATATCGGTAGAGAAACCAAAGCTTGTACTCAAGTGAAAGAGGCCGGACTATAGAAAGAAGTCGGCCAAAAAAAGTATTTGGTTGCACAGCTACCGAAGTATTGATTGATCATTACATATGGTTTAAGTTTGCTTACATTATGTCACTCTAAAGAATAAAATCTGAAAGAAAAAAATAAATTAGGCCAAATTGCCAAATTAACAGAGTGTTTTAAAAAGCTCTCATGAAGCCTCCCAAACTGGAGGTTTGTGTCTTTGTCTTAAGCAAGTTTTGGTTAAATTTAGCTTGTTCTTTATTATTGAAAGTTACTGCAGGTGCAAGAGGAGCATTATGTCAGAAAGTTATTACTCAAGTAGGAATTAGAAATGCATAGATGTAGAAATATGTTTCCTACTTCAATGTGGCCTTAAGTGAAATCATCCTTCTAGAGCAGGGGTCGGCAACCCAAACTGCTCAAAGAGACATATTGGACCAAAAAAACAAAAAATAAATCTGTCTGGAACTGCAAAAATGTAAAAGTCTTATATAAGCCTTGTATGGCAACACGGGCTCTAAGTGTATTATCCCACTATAGAAAAGGACTATGTGGGCTTAAATATATAATAAGCATTCATGATTAAATGTTTATCTGGAGCAAATGTCACATAGTAGCATTAGGTGAGTAAGGAGCAGTGAACGTTCTCACTGCACGCCGCTTCGCTACCCTTCACCGCACGGTTTAGGCTTTGTTGCATTGATGAAATTATGGAAACACGATAAAGGAATCTCGCTATGGTGGACGTGTTTCTGTTGGGAGGAGCTGATTGAGTCATGAGGAACCAAGCAGGAACTGACATCCATCAGAGCAGTGCTCTCTAACTCTGAAATCCCACATCCTCCATCATCAGCGTTCCTTGGTGATATTCATATTTTTAGGATTTGGGGGAAAAATAGAAGAAAGTTCCCATCCCTCCATCAGAGTGCTATCCGTTTAATCTGTGGACGGTTTTCTATGCTTGCAACAAAACTAGCAGCAGTAGTGGAGTTTGTAGATGCAATCCACTCGTTAAATCTATCTTTGCTCTTGTCTAATTTATCCAGAACTTCTGCAATCACATTTTTCTCTCCCTCCCAGCTTGGTGCATATTTAGCTGTGATTCCCTAGAAATGCCTTTCCAAATTTTTCTTTTAATTTTTTGAAAACCTCTCATTACAAAGCAAAAAATGCAGGCAATCCTTCCGCATTGATAATGAAAGCAAATGATTCGGTCTATTTGAATCCTCTTTTCTCATCAGCTATCTTCCTTTTTTTCCCTTTGGAATCCATAGTCCAATACACACCCACTGCTTTGTTTCCCTTGCACAGTGCTGGGTGCAAGTTATGACCACTGATCTCTATGGCTATGACGCAAATTATTGTTTAAATTTATTTATTATAGAAATGTTTACAGCATTGGACAGCATAATGAATGTTTGTTTGATCTCTTGCACACCATATTAAAAAAAAAAAAAAAAAGATTTTCATAAATTTTTGAAAAAGCTCCAGGGAGCCGCTAAAAAGCTGCATGTCATGGGTTGCCGACTCCCATTCTAGAGGAACTGGAGAAAGCCACAATCCGTCTGATGATCCAGAAAATGTTCGATCATCAGACTTTCAAGTGTTTGGACAGATTGTTGAACAGAAAAACTTCAGCAAAGAAGAGACCCAAAAAAAAAAGAAACGTCAAACACGAAGCAGGAAGTTTGTTTAAAAAAATTCAAAACATGGGGATTATTTATTTATTCATTTAATATCCTCATGTTTACATTTTAATATTTTGCCAGAGAGATGCAAAAGAGTTAGTTTTAATTTTAGCTTTAAATTGTTCAACATCCAAACCTCATCAGGAAATGTATTAAAAACCAAACACGTTTAGCTGTTGATGTGTTTGAAGACGGACTGTAAAACACTTTAATAACCTGTTAAATCATTTTCACCTGCTTTGCATCTGGGCTCCTCGTGGTGAGTACATCATGGTGTAGAGCACCCATAAATAGTCTGATAGATTCATTGTGCTTGGATTCAGTCAGTGTTTATAGTTTAGAATCAATTTGCCATTTCTGTTTGATTTTTATGGGACTTTTTATTGTTCAATATAAACAACCAACATCCTACTTTAATTTAAAAAAAAATACTTAATTATGGTAAAAATAATAAAAATAACCATACTTTAAGAAAATTCTTAGTTACTAGTTGCTATGGTGTTTTCCTCCATTTTTGGGGAGCAGTGAGAAGGGGGAGCGCACAGCATCAGCATCTATGTCAGGGTGTCATGGAGATACAGTAAGAGTTGAACAGTGGCTCGATGGAGGCTGTAAGTTTTATTAAAAACATTCTTCAACTATGAGCAGTAGAACTCTGTAGCAAATGTTGGGGTGTATCTAGCTGCTGAATAGCGCCTTGAATATTTTTATATTCAAATCCTTTCAGTTTAGTGTAGAGTTAACATTTTTACCTTAGTTTTGTGCTTCTTTACTTATTTTGCTACTACCATGCTACTGTGATTGAAAACATGATGTATATACAAGGTTGATGTATTTCAATTGAAATGTATAACATTTTGATCTAATCTTTTATCTTTTTATTTTGGGGTGAAGTGTTAAAATTGTCTAGTATTGATAATGATAATGTCTTATCTTTAAAAAAAATAAAAGTTGTCAGAACCATGTGATTCCTAAGCTTTGGGTTTGGGCCATAAGATGCTAAAGCTAGACGGGAGGTTTTGTACCTGTTGCCTCTTTGGAGCTTCCAACTAATGTTATTGAATATAATAAATGTCACTTTTAGTAAGTTTCCAGTTTTTTCTTTGTTACAGTTTTATTAAAATTGACCAACCGAATAGCTTATACCGATAATACTAGTAATATCGGCTTAGATCTACTATGTATATATCATTAAGTTAAAAACTTTTTCACATTTTTCCAATAAAATAACATCCTATAGGAGAAGATTCTAGATTTTTTTAAGTAGATTTTTAACCAGAATTATTAGTTATCTAATTTTTCAAATGTGTTGTAACATCAGGCCTCACAATAAGTTCATTTTTATAAACTCAGGAAAGATGAGGTTAATAAGACTGCTAATGTAGAGCCTCTAATCGCCAGAAGTTAAGCCTGTTTATTACTGCTATTATATTGTGGAGATGAGGGGGAGGAAGAGGTTGGTTGCTCCTTTTAACTACAGGCTTGTAGATCTGCTGTTTTCATTTTGTGTTGGAAGGTGAAAAGGCGACTCGAACCTGAATCAACCAGGAGTTTTTTTTTTCTAACATAAGCTGTTGACTTGGTAATGGGCTGGGACTCAACGCTTTGCATCTGTTCTATTTTTGTTTTAGCCATTATTAGCAGTTTGGATAAATCCATAAATATGGCTACATAATATTAAGAAAAACATCTTAAAGCAGATAATAAATCTTCATGGTAAATATTGCCATGATGATATTTGGTGTGATATACAGTTATTTTCTTCTCATCTATGCCTCCATCACTCGATGACCTTCAGTGTTTGAGTTAATGTCATTAGTGTCCAGCCTGAGCATCTGCTGCCATTAAACTCTGTCCTACTAACTTTATATATTGTCGTCAACAACCTTTATAATTTCAAAAGCTGCAGGCACTGATTGCAAAGGACGGTTTATTGGTGGTTTATCATGGAGCTGTTATAGTAAGACAGCCGCTATGTTTGCTGTTTTCTGCCTCAGGTGTTTACTCTGTAGCGACCCCTGGTTTTCAGAAGGAGCCCTGTAGTGAGGCCGGTTCCTAAACAATTTTCTTTTTCTCCTTAAACAGAGTCAAAGATCTAGCTCAGACAGATGCCCACTGTTGGTTTTCAGCCTGAGAGGATTTTCTCTGTTTTTTCTCTAAAAGATTAAACTAAAAACTGTGAATCTTCAGGAAGAGTTCATGAAACATAAGGGAGAGCAAATGTCAGAGGTACAGCAGAGAAGTAAAGAAGTAAGCGCCCGGCTTTCTGTGCTTCTTTAATCTCTCGTCTTTTGGGACGAGTTTCCTCATTAGTGTGGGCTGCTGAGTCATTCCTGTTCGGAGTTCACAGCAAAGGTCGGCGTGACTCATGGACAAAGTTAATTATAAAGCGCTGCCGCCGCTCGGTGTTTGTCTTCTGTTTTCACACCTCGTCTGACCCTCCTCGGTCAAACTCTGCTGCACTTTAATCTCTTCCTGCAGACGAACAAACAGCAGCAGCTCCGGGTATCTTCAGAACCTCACAGGAGACTTTTTCCGGCTCGGAAGATTCCGATTTGCTCCCTGTGGAAAATCAGAGCAGCACAGCTGAACCTGGAGGAGGGATTCTGTGTTTGGGAGCAGAGACAAACTTTAATGAATCCAAAAATGTAAAAAGATTAATGGCAGAAAATAAATAAAATATGATTATCTTCCTCCTGGAAGCTCCTAAATTTGCTGTTTTAATTGAATTCATCTTTATCTTACTTTGCTTTTATTTAATGTATTAAAAAAAGTATGTTTTTACCAAAATATACTTTGTCTTGTTTTTTCCATCAATTAATTTGAAAAAAAGAAATTGCATAATTTTACTCATTCTTGAAGCATCTGAGTTTTTTGATATACTCTAGTCAATGAATGTCATTTAAACTGATATTATTTGCTTTATCAAAGCCTAAATATTTCCTGTTTTAGGTAAATTAATTTGAAATGGAAAACATTAACAGGTTGGAGACCTAACAGACCAACACCCTACAGAGAGATTTAAAAGTCCTACTTCTGACCAGCATTTTTGCTGAGAACAGATCAGACGAATGACCGGATACAACTAACTATCCTGTTTTGTTTTGCTACATGGAACATCTATAACATTCCTGTGGTCTGTTTGTTGTAACAGATGAAGACCGCCTGACCAGGAGGAAGAGTTTTGTGGACACCATTTCCCTCCAAGTGGACATGTTGTCCAGCAGCCTCCCAGATAGGGTATGTATAATTTTTTTTTAAGATGCAGTTTTTCTTCTAAATGGATAAAAGCCTGTTTTTAGCTTATTTTTGTGCATCAGCTTCTAAAATGTGGCATGTAGAGGTTCTGCAGAATCACTTAGTTTGTTTTCCATCAGCAGTCGGAGTTGGCTGAGGAGATCACATTTGAGACTCTGAAGAAGGCTATCGGTAAGGTCATCAACTTCTCTCAGGAAATTAGATCCTCCACTTTAATAACATAGTTATAATTGATTACAGCCTTAAAATTTAACTTTTTTCATTATGTTAAGCCTAGAAACTGAGTCCTCCTCAGTGCTTACATCTATAATAGTGGACTATCTTAGGTTTTTAACATGGTCAACATTTTTCCAAAGGTTTTTTGCAAACTGAATTCGTGCAGCAATATCATAAAAAAAATATGCAAGGTTTTTCCTTTCAGGCCTCTCTAGTCCAACCTGCATCTTTTTCTTACCTTCTTGTCATGAACTTTAAGCTGCTGGCAAACCTCTACACTGTGTGGTTGGGAACTTGGGATGTTTTGTGTTTTTGCATAACTATTAGTTCAGAGGAACAGTGGACTTCAGGTATTTTAGAAATGTCTCTTCTTCTTCAATCTGATTGCTAATGTTTTTCTGCTCTGATTTGGTAAGAAACAATCTGTGCTCCGGTAGAAAGATGAGGATGAGTGTATCTAATCAGCAGCTCCTGGCTGCTGCTTTCTTTTTTTTTCTTTTCTTTTTTTTTCCATCAGTGAAATGTTCAGTTAGAGATCTCTGTGTCTTTTTCCAGATACAACGGGTTTGGAAGAGCAAGAACGGGAGAAGAGGCGTCAGTTGATGGAGAAGTTCCAGAAGGCTCCGTTTGAGGAGATTGCTGCTCACTGCGAGTCAAAGGTGGGAAATAAAGGCGATGCACTCTTAGTGCAAAAACAGGAAAGCTGTGTTTTACCAACTCAATTAGATTCTCTTTTTATTTTAGTTTTGCTCTTATCGTTCAGCTAATCTCATGTCGCTGTAGCAGAGATGAAGCTGTGAAAGCCTGGTTCTATCAGATGTTATTGTCCTCCTCTGTTAGCGATGTTTACCTTCAACAAACAGGCTGCTGCTATTAATGAATAATACCAGAAAGACATTTAATCCAGGAAACCTGCTGAGAGCGGCTTTCTGCATCGTTCAGAACCTCCAGCTGAGAGCTTCAGCAGAACTTGCTTGGTTTTAGCAGCAGCTGTTTTAGGACATCAGCAAGCTGGGTTTAAATGAGACTGAAACAGTCTGTAACTTTTTCAGCCTCCTTATTTCACTTTTTTAATTCTAAAATGTTGATAAGCCCCTATCATAAACCCTCCACCGCCGTGCTCCGCAGACTGCACTTCTTATCCAGCCGTAGTGGGCTTCCTCTGCTCCAACAGCAGGATCACAATGTCCTCCAACCACCTGCTCCAATAATCCAGGACATTTTGGTGATTATTTGTAGATTTTATGCGGATGAAGAAAAGCGTCAGAAAGCTAAAGTCCAAAACACTGAAACCTAAGCTCAGACGTTTCTGTCGGAGCTAAAACGTTAGTTAATGACTGCTGCGATTCCTAGACAGATAGTGGTCTCCTCCTGACTTGAGATGTTTTATTTCACCAGGCCAACATGCTCCACGACCGTCTGGCTCAGATCTTTGAACTAACGATCCGGTAAGTTCTTCACCTCACCATCAATCCCCACTATTTTATTTTTAACTTGCATTTTAGTGAGAGTTAAACTGCATTCTCTGAGATTTTCACAAAAAAAAAGTATTATTTTGAACATAATATTGATGTAAAAATTTGGCCTCATCCATTCTGCTCCAACTTCACCAATTAAACCTTCCCAGCTCTTTTAATCGGTCTCAGATGTTTGCATTTTTTCTATATAAATGTAAAGTTTAACCTTTTCTCTCCCGCTTTGCCTCCCATCAGGCCGCCCCCCAGCCCCTCTGGATTGGTTTCTATCTCAGCGGGACACACCCAGCATCCATCCGTCCCCGTCTACGAGATGAAGTTCCCGGACCTGTGCGTCTATTGAACAAAATCATCAAAGATAATGAAAAACCGAATGGAAAGAGGGCGACCTCCACACTTTGTCTCTGAGGTGGCAGGGATGCAATCAGGAACACAAACATGCATCAAATATGAACCAGCAGAGCGGCTGCATGTTGTTTCTCTGACTCGCATCCCTGAACCAAAACAGTTGTAAAGAACAAAACTAGAACAAAACAAACCGCTTTAAGCTCCGTGTTGACGTTCCGACGCTCCAGCTTCACATAGATAAACTCTAGTATAAAAATGTTCTTGTAGAAAAGAAATAAGTAAATAAAACTACAGGTTTTAGCAGTTATTTAACAGATAAACAGTAGTGGACCACTAGTAGAAAAGTAAACTCTAAAACAGTCTCAGAGATGAAGGCTAACATCAGCGTTACGATCGGCTCAGTCTGATCTCCTGCAATAACTCCTTAATATCCGCACGGTCAGCTTATTGTCATATCAGCTCGGGTAAAACACAGAAGGTCACAGTTCACTTTAAAAGGCTCCTTCCAGATTTATGGGTAACTTTTGCAATAATTCTTTCATCAGATTTTGCTACATCTTCTTTGCCCTTATTTGGATATTAATTATAGTGTAATCTTTACGAGACATTGCGGTAATTGGCATTTTTTAATCCAAATATAAAGTGTTCTGGTATTAAAACTCACAAAAAAATGTATCTCATTACAAAATAAATATGGAACAAAATCATCATATAATTTGTTCTTAAAATTAAATTTTTTTACGATTATTTTCTTAAAAACCTGATCAGTTCATTAACTGAAATGCATTTTAAATGTTATTCTAAAATGTTATTTTTCCAACCAACAGCCGCTGTTAAAAATAATGGTATAACGTGAGATTAAAAAAGTAAAAACTGGTCAACTTTACTTTCAGTCTGATAGGTTTATTAAAACCTCCAAGATCAATAAGCACAAAACTTATAATTTTTCATTTCTATTTAGCAGTTTCATATAGATTTTGACCAGAAAATAAAAGCAGAGCAAAGTACCAACTTAAAACCTTTTTTGTATTTACCTGTTAAAGTGCAGTTCATTTTAACAGCAGTAGGTGGCAGTATTTAAGAATTTCCCATCTTACCAGAACTTAAAAAACAGGTTTTCAACTTTTGTAAACCTTAGCTAAAAATAAATCTACCATCGCAGCTATAAATCTACATAACCGGATTATTCTCTTTTAGTGTTTAAACTTTAGTACCTTTAATCTGGGTGCCCCTCTCCAGCCTTAATACTGATTTCATGCATGAACAAAAGGGGGTAGTATATCTCAAATGTAAAATATTGCAACATAAAAGTAGCTAGTCTGGCTACTAGCTACTGCTAAAATCGAACCGCTGATTTAAAAAAGGCAAAGGGGATCTCTTTGGACATGTTCTTATTAAGGCTCTTCTATCAAATAGTCTGTTTTTAAGTAGCTCTCATCTTCCTGTCACAGTTACACCAGGCTTTTGTGAGCTGGGTTTGAAAAGTATGAATCAATCATCCCCCCTTGTAGCTGCAGGGTGGCTTACAGGTTTATAGATATGAAGGCTTTGATCAGTCCTTTTAAATCAAGGGTGCATTAATATGCCCCGAGTCCTTTAAAGCTTATGAAATCTAAGAATCAGTGACCAGGCTGTGTTGTGAAACAGCCGCCCAGGTTAGTTCTGAGTGGCTTCATGAGCCCAGGCTGCAGCTGTGATCTGTAAAAACAGATGGTTTATCAGAACATTCCTCTAATCTAAACTCAGCATGAGGGGGAACCTGCTGCCGCTGCTCAATCTGGCTTAGTGTCAGGCTGAAAGTCCACCTTTTCTTCCAGCTGTTTCAGGCAGGAGAAACGGTCCAATTATGGATGTATATGGTTTTTAAATTGCCAGCCTGAGCCTGTTATAACTGAACTGCAGATGATTGGTTTAACTAGGCCTGTTTGGAAGCAGTTGTCTGGTTTATCTGAGAAAAAAAAGCTACATGAGCAGAAAATCTCTTACTGCAAAGTTATACAGTTAGGTGTTTAAAAATAACTACTGAACATTGTTAATGATGGACACAAAGGTTTGAAATCAATTATTTCTAAAGATCATAAGAGTCCGTAACCATGTAATACCACATATGGCCACTAGTAGCTCTCTTAAACCCCTTTTCTGCAAGGAAATGCTAAATCATCAAACATTTATCACATGTAGCTACAGTTTAAGTTGACTGCAGAGGTAAATAACAAATAGATATTAAAAAAGATTCCATCAGACTGTCTCATAGCACTAATTCCTAATACAACCCACTCTCACTACTGTCAGAGGACTTTCTTTGAGCTTCCCAGGAATACGCGCGTTGATATAATCAGACTCGGCGGTACTTACAGCAGACACCTGAGCTTGACCCTTCCAGGTGCCAGGAAAGTACTGGAAAGTAGGGTTTATGCTTAGGGACAGTAAGGTTTTGGAAAGTGACCTGTAAGATCCTTGAAAGTGGTACAAATGTGTGTTACCCGTATAGGTTTAATAGGGTAAGCTTTGTAAATTGGGCAATGGAGAGTGTAGGCTACTTGAAAACACTCAGAATGGAGTCAAGAAAAATAGATTTTTGGTTTTGCTTCAAGCTCTATGACTCCTTACAGATGTTGTATAAAGCACCTGCAGAGCCCCATAGTCATACTTGAGTGTTCTGCTTGGTGCCTCATAAAATCGTCGCAAATATCTTCTCTTCAAGCTTCCTGTTGATCCACCAGCTTCTGTACGGACATATACGGATCCAGCATGAGCACTTGTTGGAGGAAACTGAGCCATTTATCTTCTTCAACTCTAAAATATGAACTTTAATCCATTTTACTAACTTTAACCATGTTTATGTCGCATGTCGACTCACCAGCGTTGGACCAGAGCTCATCATTTATCGGTTTCCTCTCTGGAACATCAGTTTGAGCTTTAAAAAGAAACGCTGTGAAACTAAATCCATCTAAAGCCGGGATCGCGGCCGGGATTAATCCCATCGTGGCTGGAACACATGAGGAACGTGTCGTTTAGGCAGCAGATCATATATTTTTGTACGTTTATGCATCACACGGTTCAGTTATTGCCTGCTAGAGATTCAAAACATATCAGTATCACTGGAAATCCTGAATTATCGTTTGTTGACGTTTACATCATTGTTTTGGGTTTGAAGCGGATCATGCAGCCGTTGGATCTGCAGGGGAAATGCTCTTTTTCTTTTATCTTTATCAATTTAAAAGAGTTGTTCTAGGAATGTATTTTTTTGTATCTTAGATGCAATCTAGAAATGTTGCCTCTATTTATTTTTTGTCCCCCTATTGTTTGCATTAAATTGTTTAAAGGATCCCAAACTAAGATCGATGCACCAGCACAGAAAGAAACTTTTCTGCTTTAACACTGATTTGAAAGAAATTTACCTGAAGTGAAAGTTAAAAACTGAACCATAAACCACTTTCATTTTCTTTTTGTTCTTGCACATTAACGTTTGTCAGTATTAGACGTTTAGGAGAGGTTCTCCAGAATAAAGTGATGCACGGATCTGAGCTGTGGGGAAACAAGGAATCGGCTCACTCAGTCATTTCAGATGCCAAACGGCTTGTGTTTTCTGATGTTTGCACTATGATCACTGTAATGCGGTACTGAAGCAAAACAAAACAATAACAAACGATCAGCACAGATGTCTTTAGTACGGATGGATGTTTTCAAATGAGTTATTATGAATGTTCAGTTGGTCTTAAAATAATAAAAATCTCTACTTAGATAATAGACCTGCCTTATTGTGGGATGCTTGTATACAGGGAATGTTTGCTCGCCTCCCAGGGTGGAGCCTGTTTAGTTCATCGGCTGCGATCCATAATGTGTCGAAAGCAAAACCGTTGATTTCTTGTCTGTCTGTGGTGCAGCATTTTTTATTTTTGTGCCAGATCTAAATATTTATGTCTTGTGTGTGTTCACCTTCACAAAGATAAAATGCTGAAGCTCCGATGTGTTTTAAACACGTTGATTTATGACCACTAGATGGCGCCAAGGCTCGGCTCTTTCGGCCGGTTCAGGAAATGTTCTTGACACACCAAGCTGAGCTTTAAACAAGCACTTATCAGTTTCAGATTTTGAGGTCAGGATTGGCTTTTAAGTTTTCAAACTTTTTACTTTTTGTTGCACTTTTTCCAAAAAAAAAAAAAAAGCTGGTGTAAAGAAAGTGTTTCTTTTTTCCATCTATGCGGTTAACTTGAAGTGTTCACTGAACCGTGTCATGCAGCGGAGCCTCGATGCATTATACAATGTCTCAGAATGTGTTGTATTGTAATGTTAAGGTTCAAATAAAATGTTTCTATTAAAGTATTTGAGTTGTTTATCTTCATGGTTCTCTTTTTTTTTAAACAACAGTGGCCCAAAGTGCTGCTGTTCAATTTTCTTCCTCCTCTTCATATTCTTTATCTTGGTCATATTCTTCAATTTCTTCTTCCTCCTCTTCCTCCTCTTCCTCCTCCTCTGGTCTCTGAGCCAGTGGTTGGTCTTGATTTGGTCTTTGGTCGAGGCCACTTAGCGTTGGTGGTTCTCTGGTTTCCTCGCTGGAGGCAGAGGGAGGAGAAGAGGTTTGGGTACCTGATGATCCAGCAGGAGGATCTGGCTGTTCTCCACTCATCATATCAGAGCTTTGATCACTGCAAATGGTAAAATACCTTTTAGTTATATATAAAATTAGTTTCTAGATGAGCATCAGAATGTTATTGAAACAGAAATGAATTTCAACTATAAGATGGAAAAAAGTGGTTTTAAAGCCATATAATTTGTTTTTTTGTGAGATTAAGCAACAACTGGCAACAATTACAGCCTGGGGTTTTTCATATCAATGCTGTCTTGAGAACAAATATTTTTCTAGCAGGAATAACAAGTTGCTTTGGTGAACGTTCTGCCAAGAATATTATCTAGATTATGGACTAACTGCTCACTCAAAGTTAAATGAATCCAACTTGAATTAAAACCTACTTATTTGTAACTTTTCTTGTAACCCTACTACCAATAAAATCCCTTTAAATAGTGCTATAAGATGATATATAATGACAGAAACCTAAAAAAGAAAGGGGACCCAAACACTCAACCTTGAGGTGCTCCTGAGTTTAGATGAGTTTATTTTTAAACTATTACATCAGCAATAGCTCACCTGTCATGATGTTGTGCAGAGGAACTGGGTTCAATCTCCTCAGACTGTTTGCTCCACCTGCTTTCCTCGCTGGGCTGTGGGGTTACTCTGACAGGTTTGGGGGGTCTGCTGGCTCGGCGACAGGGTGGCGCAGGTCCACGGCATCGCTGTGATGGCAAGCTGTGGTTAAAGTGTGCCGCAGCCATGCATTCTGCTGTGGTTTTGTCGCAAACACACTGCAGTTTATCGCATGCTGTGATGCCATGGCCTGCAGAGCATATGAAAGTTTTTGAGGTTTTTAAAATTGAATTCCTGGTTCACATCTATTAATTTATGAAGCACTTTCTAAAAGTAACCCAAAGGGCTTATCATAAAAGATATAAACTCTGTAAAAATCATCACTGGACTTGCAAATGATGGCAAAAGAAGATGGCATGAAACAAATATTTAAACAACTCTGTAGCAACACTGCTTCATTTAAATAGGGGCTCTTAAACATTCTTATAGCTTAGAGTAGGAGGAAGAGAGAAAACTATATTTTGCTATGAAGAGAAGCCAATAAAGGGTTCCTCTTATGGGAGAACCTTTATTTTTATGGTTATAAAAAACGTTGCTGTAATACAAGTAATTCTAGAGTCAGAATTACAGTACAGCTCCAATGAAGCAACATTTTAATCATTCCCTTTATTATGTCCCCAATGATCCACATATGTTTTTGAAATTTCAAGCAGCTACTGTAAAATAATTTTTCTTTTTTTAAAATATGTTTTCGCTTCACAATTATAATCTGATTGGTTTTAGCCTGTTTCCTCTGACTGTTAGACTTGCCTTTAAATTCATGCTCTACTAATTCCTTTCCAGATTTATGCGCTTCAGAGGCGATCCCAGTTCAGGGTCAGTCTACACTGATTAAAATTAACCAACAGGAAAATAAAAGTACGCAACATCCATATTTTCCAAATAAATCATTAAAGACAGCAGATTTTCATAGGGACCTCAATAAGGCAGCTATGCACCTATTTAAACATGGATGCTGTTTAAATTCATCTCAGGTTCTATATAATATAGACATGAAATTGAAGGTAGTTTATATTGCAGTCATAGTTTATATGTAATTTTACAGAACACTACAGAGAAACACTGTATAAAACATAAAAATTTAATCCTACAAGAGCCAGGATTCTGTGTTAACCATCTTTAATTGTTGTGCTTTGAATAATTGCTGCATTTCTGTTGTTGATTTTTGGTTAATATGCTAACTTTAAAGAGACATTTTTGTAGAGTTTATCTTTAAAAAAGCCTTTTTATTTGACCCTTTATGCCCATAGAGCAGGTCAGCAGCAGGAAGCATGGAGTGCTCTAAAACTTGCTGGTAGACGGCTGCGTTGACCCTGGATCTCAGGAAACAGAGTGGACCGACACCAGCAGATGACATGGCACCCCAAACCATCATTGATGGTGGAAACTTTACACTAGACTTCAGGCAACATGGATCCTGTGCCTCTCTTGTCTTCCTCCAGACTCTGGGACCTCCATTTCCAAAGGAAATGCCAAATCTGCTTTCGTCAGAAAGCATGACTTTGGACCACTCAGCAGCAGTCCAGCTCTTTTTTTTCTTAGCCCAGGTGAGATGCTTTTCGCGCTGTTTCTTGGTCAACAGTGGCTTGACACGAGGTATGCGGCAGTTGAAACCCATGTCTTTCAAGCGTCTCTTGGTGGTGGATCTTGAAGCACTGACTCCAGCAGCTGTCCACTCCTTGTGAATCTCCCCCACATTTTTGAATGGGTTTTTTTTCACAATCTTGACTAGGGTGCGGTGATCCCTATCGCTTGTACACTCTTTCTGACCACAGTTTTTCCTTCCCTTTGCCTCTCTATTAATGTGTTTGGACAGAGAGCTCCGAGAACAACCAGCCTCTTCAGCAATAACCTTTTGTGTCTTTCCATCCTTGCGCAATGTGTCGATGGTCGCCTTTTGGACAGCTTTCAAATCTGAAGTCTTTCCCATGTTTGTGTAGGCTACAGAACTGGACTGAGAGACCATTTAAAGCCCTTTGCAGGTGTTTTGAGTTAATCAGCTGATTAGTTTGTGGCACCAGGTGTCTTCAAAATTTAACCCTTACACAATATTCTAATTTTGTGACACACGGAATTTTGGATTTTCATTTGTTGCCACTTCAAATCATCTAAATTAAATTAAATAAACATTTGAATGCATCAGTCTGTGTGCAATGAATAAATATAATGTACAAGTTACACCTTTTGAATGCAATTACTGAAATAAATCAAGTTTTTCAAAATATTCTAATTTACTGGCTTTTACCTGTATAAGCCTGTGGTCTATTTTCCCTTTTTTTAATCTGGCTGACTAAAACAAATGTCCTACCTTCTCATATTAAAATTCTAGCGTAAATTAGCTTTGCACTTTTATTGTAATTTAATGAAAGAAACTGGAGTTTATCAAAGTCTTTACATCAAGACAGGCCTGTAGCTTGTGCAGCTGATAAACTTACAAGTTCAACAAGTGATACAACTGGGTATCATCAGCATAACAATAAAGGCAAACATTTCAAAATATTTTTTCATTAAAGATTCCGATTTTTTTTTTCAGCCCTGTTTGTAACTGGGCAGCATGCGTCTGCCCTGCTGCATTATGGTCTCACTCACATCGCGGTTTGTTTCCGCTCTCGCAGGAAATCCGAGCGTTGAGCTTCCTGTCTGCTCTGCAACCCATGGAGCTGATCTGTTTCAGGCAGCAGCGATGGAAGAAGCAACACCTGAGAGGTAGAATAACAGGCTTCTTTTAGTGCTTAAAATCGCATCAATAGATACGCGTTTGATCAGCCGATGCCAGGAAAGAAAACATCATTCCAGTATATTTTTTTATTGATGGATAAAAGATCTCTTTCAATTAAAGATATCTTTCTCAGATTTCTCTTCAGAAAACTTATCGTACATGTAAGAGAACAAGGCTTTGTTCACAAAATATATAATATATATATTTCTGCATGTAAGAATCATTTAACTTAATTTAATGATATTTAAGAAAATCTTAATCAAAAAGACAAAAGTTTTATTTTCTCTCTGTATTCCTTCCCATCATAGAAGCCTCACCTGTCCAGCTGGTCCAGAGGCTGTCCTCCTCCCTCCTGTCCACAGTAGCAGCCATACATCTCGTACTCATGGGGGCAGCGTCCCGTCAGGCAGTGCAGCATCTCCCCCAGCGCCGGCATCTCCCGCCGGCTTCCTCCATCGCTGCTATAAACGCTGAAGGAACGACTGCATTCTGATTGGAGGAAACATTACAAAAGCTGAAACGGCTCATTTCACCGGCCACTGATGCTCTCAGGTTAAACGTGGAAACGGATGGATCCAGCTTACCTTTAACCTCCGGCAGCTGGATGTCGGTCAGGCCAACAGACTCCAGCAGGGACCAGGCGAAGAACGGCACTGATCTCTTCTGAGCTGAACAGAAAACTTGCTTTCACATTTAATGCCAAAACATTGAAGAAAGCGGGTCATATTTGACCTCTTTGTGTCATGTTTTGTGTCTACATTTAAAATGTATTCATCTTTATCTGTGGCTTTCCTGTATTAAGATGCTTCCTGTTCAACAGGTTTACCATCCTCCTCCTTCATGCTGTCTGCCTCCTCTTCTTCCTCACACTGAGGAGCTTCAGTCGCCGTCTCTTGTGGAGATCTCACAGCTGCTGCTGCGCTTCGTTCCTTACCTGCAGCAGATTGAAGGATAAGACATTAAATCAGTTTTTGTTTTGTGACATTGTTCAACTGTTGAAACCAAACAAGTCGATTGTAGTTATAGATGCTCTGATCAACAACACTGATCTTATTTAAACACTCCAAACACCTAAAGACAGTCGCTGTTGTTTGTTTTTCTGTGCTTTAACTATTATTAAACCTGTCTCTGTTACATATTAATAAGAACGCACTGGTTCAAGGTTTTAGGAACTCCATTAAAAATTGCTTAAGATGTAAACATAAACTTGTACTTAAAGTCTTTAAAGGGGTCATGCAAAACTGAGTTTACATTGTGATAGATGAATAACTATACAGTAGTTCAGTGGGTGAAATGGACGTTCAGAGTAGTTCAAACCCCATCGACACCTCCTTTCTCTGCAAATCTCATGATTCTAAACTTCCACCATAAAACAGGCGAAAGCAAACGAAGCCCTGAATTGACGTCAATTTGGGTATGTTGCCTTATTTGGTTCCGGCCTGTACTTTTGTCACACCCCGAAATTGACATACAGACCAGCTCACTGGTTCACTGGCCCAAGAACATGAATAGAGGTACTGTAGATGTAAGACACCAGTTTAGCTGTTTGGCCTACAGTTGGGTTTACTTGTACAAGATTTGTTTATTGAAAAGGAGCCAGAACCACAGGCGTAACTGCAGTGTTCCAGGCTGCACAGAGAAAGGGGAAAATTTGAGTCTTCCCAAGGATCTGAAGATTCGACAGGCATGGATTATTTTTGTCTATCAGAATATCCTTGCAAATTTGATGCTCAGCTGTTCATTTGCTCTAAGCATTTTACCGAAGACAGCTTTGAAAATCTTGGACGGTTCAAAGCAGGATTTGCTATTCCTCTTCTACTGAGATGAGGGGCTGTTCCAACCGTAACACCATCACAACAGCAAGCTGGCAGTATTATTCTGTCGCTAAGCTGTTGATAGCAATGCTGGCAAATCTACGGTTACCAGATTTGGGTTTCTGAAAAGGTCATCAGCTCGGGGGCTGCTCCGGCGGTATGCTTCCCCCCATCCTTCCCCTCGCCTGCCCGGTAAGGCCCGGTCTGGTTCGGTTGCTCCTACCCCCGTCCGCCGAGGTTCCAAGACCAGCCCCAGAGCTGAAGGCTTGGTTCGAGTGCCCGGTGTGTTTCGTCTACATGCTGCACTATCGTCGAACAAAATCCCGGACGATTTTGAAATTCCCCCCCGGATATTTTTTAGGTATGAAAGGTAGGAAATGTCCGGGAAAAAGAGAACGTCTTGTCACCCTACCATATCAACAATTTGATGTTTCAGTGAGTGAGTGCTTGTTGCTATGATGCGTCTTTGCTCAGCAGCTTTGCTCGTTGTAAACCAACCAATCAGTGCACAGCTCGTCTAAATATTCATGAGCATACCATAAAAGGAAGAAAACCTGTCGTTTCATTCTGGGGCTCTTAACCAGGCTTTCATTAGGGCTCATAGAACAGCAAATATGCCATTTTCAGGCCAACCAATGTTACACACCCTATTCAGAGACCTTAAGGACCAGCACTAAATACCCTATAGAATCATTCTATTACCCCTTCAAAGCTCCACAGTTCCTCAGAAACACCATTTAAAGTTTCAAAGTTTACAGACAAGAAGAAAGACTGAATTTAATACCAATAAGTTAATACACCTTTACAGCTTAAACCATGTTTTTCTTTTATTGAGCTTCTTTTGCCTAAAATGTAGGACTATTTAGTATAGATTCTGCCTTTGATGCAGAGCAGATCTAGAGAAATGAAAACTTCTTTAAACCTACCATGACATATGGAGGTCAAGCTGATGTTAGTAGCCGTCTTAATCTGTATTCAAGGTTCTCACGTCGTTCAAATATATTTTATGGACATAAAACCATGCCTGCTTCTAAATGGGGGCCACTCTCGCTGTTATGGCCCCTTATTAGAGAACATACATGTAAAAAATGAAATATGAATCAATTTATTTAATGAAATGACTGTACTTTGCCTTGATTCAACCGTGTAGGTAAGACATTGCAGAGGGAATAAGATGATTTATGTTTAGAGTAAGAAAACCAAACTCGGTTATCTATTCTATTTCAGCATAATATCTAATTAGATATTTTAAGGACTAAGATACTTATTCCTTTGGCAGATCATCTCATTTGCCTATTCAGATTAACGGAAAAAATAATCATTTTGTTTCGTTTTTACTTATTTTTAGGTCAGGTTTGATGACTAGTTGGTATGTTTGACCTTAATAATTTATTTTAAAAACTACCTCGAAAGGACTGTTAGGTATAAGCTTGAGTCTGCATTAAGATATGATCATATATTTCATCTTTCAGATCAGGGCTAGAAATCTGTTTCAGTCTTTTGACCTAAAAGGCAACAGTCACCATGACAACCAGTGATGTGGCAGCTTCTCCAGCTGTGAAATAAGTGAATTAGCACCCTTCAAAATATTTTCTTCAACCAAAATACAGGTGCTGGTCATAAAATTAGAATATCATGAAAAAGTAGATTGATTTCAGTAATTCCATTTAAAAAGTGAAACTTGTATATTATATTCATACATTACATACAAACTCATATATTTCAGATGTTTATTTTGTTTAATTTTGATGATTACAAATGACAACAAATGAAAATCTCAAATTCATCATATCAGAAAATTAGAATATTGTGAAAAGGTTCAAAATTGATGGCCCCTGGTGCCACACTCTAATCAGCTAATTAACTCAAACCACCTGCAAAAGCCTTTAAATGGTCTTTCAGTCTAGTTCTATAGGCTACACAATCATGGGGAAGACTGCTGACTTGACAGTTGTCCAAAAGACGACCATCGACACCTTGCACAAGGAGGGCAAGACACAAAAGGTCATCGCTAAAGAGGCTGGCTGTTCACAGAGCTCAGTGTCCAAGCACATTAATAGAGAGGCGAAGGGAAGGAAAAGATGTGGTCGAAAAAAGTGTACAAGCAAGAGAGATAACCGCACCCTGGAGAGGATTGTGAAACAAAACCCATTAAAAAATGTGGGGGAGATTCACAAAGAGTGGACTGCAGCTGGAGTGAGTGCTTCAAGAACCACCACACACAGACGTATGAAAGACATGGGTTTCTGCTGTCGCATTCCTTGTGTCAAGCCACTCTTGAACCACAGACAGCGTCAGAAGCGTCTTGCCTGGGCTAAAGAGAAACAGGACTGGACTGCTGGTGAGTGGTCCAAAGTCATGTTCTCTGATGAAAGTAAATTTTGCATTTCCTTTGGAAATCAAGGTCCCAGAGTCTGGAGGAAAAGAAGAGAGGCACTTCATCCACGTTGCTTGAAGTCCAGTGTAAAGTTTCCACAGTCAGTGATGGTTTGGGGTGCCATGTCATCTGCTGGTGTTGGTCCATTGTGTTTTCTGAGGTCCAGGGTCAACGCAGCCACATACCAGGAAGTTTTAGAGCACTTCATGCTTCCTGCAGCTGACCAACTTTTTGGAGATGCAGATTTCATTTTCCAACAGGACTTGGCACCTGCACACAGTGCCAAAGCTACCAGTACCTGGTTGAAGGACCATGGTATCCCTGTTCTTAATTGGCCAGCAAACTCTCCTGACCTTAACCCCATAGAAAATCTATGGGGTATTGTGAAGAAGAAGATGCAATACACCAGACCCAACAATTCAGAAGAGCTAAAAGCCACTATTAGAGCAACCTGGGCTATCATAACACCTGAGCAGTGCCACAGACTGATCGACTCCATGCCACGCCGCATTGCTGCAGTAATACAGGCCAAAGGAGGCCCAACTAAATACTGAGTGCTGTACATGCTCATACTTTTCATGTTCATACTTTTCAGTTGGCCAACATTTCTATAAATCCTTTGTTTTTATTGGTCTTCAGTAATATTCTAATTTTCTGATATGATGAATTTGAGATTTTCATTTGTTGTCATTTGTAATCATCAAAATTAAACAAAATAAACATCTGAAATATATGAGTTTGTATGTAATGTATGAATATAATATACAAGTTTCACTTTTTAAATGGAATTACTGAAATCAATCTACTTTTTCATGATATTCTAATTTTATGACCAGCACCTGTAAGCTTGAATAAAAGTAACGGATTTTTCTGTTAATGCTACATTGAATAAAATGAACAGACCACGTGTTTTTTTCTGTTTTTCTCCAGCTTGATCATTTAGTTTTTCTCACCAGCAGCTGAAATGCTAATTGTTTGACAGCTCATTCACACTGCATTCTGGCCAATATTAATATATTAGCTAATGTTGGCAGCTTAGTTGAATATGTATATTGATATAATGATAAAGTACTGTTAGCCTATTGAAATGCTGATGTGGGCTAACATGTTGCTGTTAGTAATCAATATAATTAAAAAATACTTGATTAATTCCCCAAAATAAATTAAATGTCTTCGTAGCCTATTCATTCAAATTTGATCAGTTATTGTAGATTGCAGTGGGCATCTATCTGCTTATAGTTTTCCCCAAGATTAGCATATAAGCTACCTAGCATATTCCAAAAAAGTTTTCAAAAAACAGTCCATTGGACTTTGTTTCACAGTTTGAAGATGTTTCACTTCCAATACAGGAAGCTTTTTCAATTCAAAATGTCAGAATTTGCTTTTTAGAGCTTTGGATTAGAAAAAAAGCGAATTAAACCGATACTTAGCATAGCAGACAATATTAGCCCAAGAAGAAAACCTGACTTTAGCTTGCTATCCCACAATTATCATAAGATAACACATTAGATGAACTGATATTTATCAATCACTTTTAAAGATTTAATCAGGTAAAATTATGATATATAAATATGATATAAAGATGAGTAAAGGGATCAAGAATGTGCGCATGCACACACACACACCCACTCTGTGTTTTCATGATATATGGGGACATTTCATTGACTTGCATTAATTTTATATGGCCTAACCATATAAACCATATTATATGGCCTAACCCGACCTCTACCCTAGCCCTAACTA